CTAAAATATAGATGGAGTCATATGATTTCTTAACAAAAATGTTCACTGTCCATCTCCTCTAAGACCTTGAGAATAAATTTACCATCCTTAGAATGTCATCTAAAACCATTTCTAACATGCCCTACCTGACCTTCCAAACTTATCTTTCTATTTCTTTTCTGTTGTCTTAGCCAAATGCCACCTTCACTATAAATTCTTACAGATCCATAAGCAGAAATGATTCCTTATGTATTCTTATAGCATTTGTTTTATTTATTAGAGTTTATAGTGTACTAGGTTTTATAAAACAGCTAGTTTTTAAAAATTATTTTATTAGGGGCTCATACAAGTCTTATCACAATCCATACATACATCCTTTGGGTAAAGCACATTTGTACATTCATTGCTCTCATCAATCTCAAAACATTTGCTCTCCACTTCAGCCCCTGGCATCAACTCCTCATTTTTCCCCTCCCTCCCCACTCCCCCCTCCTTCATGAACCCTTGATAATTTATAAATTATTATTTTGTCATATCTTGCCCTGTCCGACGTCTCCCTTCACTCACTTTTATGTTGTCTGTCCCCAAGGGAGGAGGTCACATGTAGATCCTTGTAATCAGTTCTCCTTTTCCACTCCACTCTCTCTCTACCCTCCCTGTATCGCCACTCACACCACTGGTCCTGATAGGATCATCCGCCTTGGATTCCCTGTGTTTCCAGTTCCTATCTGTACCAGTGTACATCCTCTGGTCCAGCCAGACTTGGAAGGTAGAATTGGGATCATTATAGTGGGAGGGGGGTGGGCATTTAGGAATTTTTTAATTGTGCCTCTCTATGAGGTACAATACAGACTTAGAAATCAGGTGTCATAAGCTTGCTTTTCTTCTCTGCATCTCCCAGTACCTAAGATGGTATTTTATTGTCCTTTTCATAAGACCTAGGGATGTATGAATAAATGTTATGTAAATTAATTAGTGTTGATCTTTGGATGCCAAAACACCAATTTTCTCTCTTCTAATTAGTATTCTGCATCTCTGAACCTATTTCAAATCAACATTATCCCTTTGGAACACTCAAACGCACTGTTGTGAAGTGCCAACAAATGTTTTCTGACTCATAGCGACCCTGTGTATAAGAGCACACAAAACACCCTGGTCCTACATTATCCTCACAAGCATTCCTGTGTTTGAGCCCCTTGTTGTAGCCACTGTGTCCATCCATCTAACTGATAGTCTTCCTCTTTTTTTCTGACCCTCTGCTGGAACTCATAGCTAGACACTTCTGAAAAATATCAGATTGACGGGTTAAGAATAAAAAAATAATAATATTTTTATTTCCACCGATTAGATACAAAAATGAATCTGTAAAACCTACACCTAATATTTAAATGTGTTACATATGGGTTACAAAACCAAAACTCACTGCCATTGAGTCAATTCTGACTCATATCAACTGTAAATCTTTACCTAAGCAGACAGACTCATCTTTTCCCCATGGAGTAGCTGGTGGGCTTGAACCACTAAACTTGTAGTGAGTATCCCAATATTTAATCCAAAATGCACTGGGAATCTTTTGATATATAGCTATATAGAGTCAATTTATAAACAATCACATGAAAGTTAGGTCCAATAATGTAGGTACACTTAGATTAAATACTGCACACAATCTAAGAAGTATGCCAACAGAGGGGAAGAGGTGAGAGTGGGACTATGCACTACAGGTGTCCTGCTTATCTCACTCGGAACTTTCCAGACAAATAGAAGAGAATAGGTACAGGATTCAAATTTCAGTCATTTAAAAAACAACCAGTTTTATGGAAAAAATACTCTCTCTAAAAACAAACCAACCAAATCTTTACCATCCATCTTCCTCCTTTGGAGGGGTTGGGAAGAATAGCTTTGTGGTCAGCTGTCTAACACTCACAGGGGCCAACAGGGGTCTTATGAAATCCTTAGGAAAATTATACTGGCTATGGTATTGAATAATACCATGTCCTAGGTATAGAATAATACTATATCCTAGTATTAGGATGAATAATACTTCATCCTAATTTGAAAAACAGTGACTTATTCCTTAAAACATTTCTTAATGTAGATGGATGTATTGATGCCCGATTGTGTTTCAGCGACACATATTGAGGGAGAAATGAATAAAACAGTCATTTAAAATAGAGGCTCTCTACTATATTTTGTATGTATAAGATAGCTAAGTTACTATGCATACTTGCATTGTCCTTTTGTTTTCTCCAGTAGGAGTCTAAAAATATTTTAACATTATTATTTAATAACTTACTTATTTCCTGAGGGCTGACTTACCCCTTGGATTTCCTCCCTTCTCCAGACTCATCCTTGATGACCTCAAGCAGTCATTCCCTGGACTTTCAGTACCCCTTCTATGAGAACCTGAGCATCCTCTCCTCTGTGCTTGTTAGAATGCACCTGAAGGGCAATATAACCAACTGCCTATTGGAGCAGTTAATTCAATGTGTAGTCGGTATTTCATAATCATATCATTTTCTTATCTACCCTGTGATTCCCTTCCTCACATGAGACATTCAACTAGTCAGTTGCATTCATTCTACTTTCAAAGCATACCCATATTTTGATCCTTTATTAACAACTAGGCATTTATTAATCCTATTCAAATCTGGATAAATATAGTGGACTTCTAACTGATCTCTGCTCATCCTTCTCTTTCGACCCTTGTCTACTATACTTTCAACCTAACAGGCAGAGTAATAATTTAAAATATAAATTATATTACATCACACCTTTGCTGATCTTAACCATGCAGTCATCCTTTGTTCCTCTTGAACTTCTGCCTCTTGGTCTATGTACAGGTCCCACATGAGCACAGTGAATTGTTCTGGAATTCTTGATCTTTGTAATGTGATCCGTAGTTATTGTTATGATTCACACAGTTGAGTGTCATTGCATAGTCAATAAAATAGAAGCAGTGTAAGTAAAATTTTGGGGACAGTAATTCAACAAGCAGTTCATTGCAACTGTTGTTGAATTATTGTCCCCAAAATTTTACTAACATGTTATATTAATGATGTTATTTGATTAGTTCCTCATTCATTTAAGACATCTTTCTTTGGAATTGGTACAAATGTGGATCTCTTCCAGTCAGTTGGCCAGGTAGCTGTTTTCCCAATTTCTTTGCATAGAAGAATATGTGCTTCCAGTGCTTCAAAGCCATTTTGAAATATTTCAATTGATCCTGGAGCCTTGTAAGCTGATGCCTTTATTGCTACTTGGACTTCTTTCAGTTATCGGTTCCATTTTTGCATGAGGATATCCTCATGTTTGCATGATGGAAAGCAAAATTATCTATCATCTATCTATCTATCATCTATCTATCTATCTATCTATCTATCTATCTATCTATCTATCTATCTATCTATCTATCTATCATCATCTGTCTATCTATCATCTATCATCTCCAGGACCTGCTATAAAATGTTCTTATGTTTGGTCCCATAGTCTTGTGTTTTAACAAGCCCTCGAGGTGAATTTAGAGAAATCTACAATTGAGAACTACTCACCTAAAAGTATTATCTTAAAAGTATCCTTATGACACTGTTTTTAACCACTGTGAAAATGTGCCATGATCAATTAGGACCGTGGCCAATGGGGGCATGGGAGGGAGATGACAGTTTTCTTGTATTGGAAGGACTTACTCTATTTCGTATTCAGACATTTGCCATCTCATTATATTTTGACTATCAGCAGTTATTATCTGACCTTTCCGACTTTTACTACGTCTTTAATGAGGTTGGCGGTATATCTAAGTATACACTCTTTAAATTGTTTTTAGTAAGTTAGTCGTAGAAGCAAACATACCTTTCCATTTCCACTCTCTTACCTTGTCTTAGGAAGCTTTCAGTAGAATCTCCCCACCCCCACCGAACACACTATCCCCTCCTCTTGCTCCATTCCATTGTCACCTGAAGCACGATTAATGCGAGGTGTGTAAGTTCTCTCCTGTAGTAAATTTGATGAGAGTGTGTTAAAACTACCTAACAAGATGTGGAACTTCATTGCAAGATGCTGAATTAAAACCCACCAAGGAACATAAGTGACCCCAGTAAGAAATACTGAATCACTGCAGACTCACTGAAAAGAGGGCGGCACCTAGAAGCTCCCCAGACACATCAGTGGAACCCTGCTTAGACCTTGGCAAACGCCAGAATGACGTCCAAGAGCCAGCAAGAGTGCCTGTAATGGCCCGGGTAGAGAGACAGAACTCAAGAGAGCTGGGAACCAAAGAGGAGCCATCCGCTCCGGCTCTCTCCATCTCTACCCGGGTGAGGACACGAGGAATGCAATGCCTAACGGGACGAAGGGCCAGTAACTGATAGTATGCTGAATTAATCTTGTGTTACCCTTATAGCTAATGACTTCAGTTAACTTTAAGATTGTTAGATTGTTTGATGTATGTTTACAGTGAATAAGCCGAGCATTCGAAAACGTCAAAAAGCGTTACGTAATTATTGATCGTGCCTCTCGGGACAAATTTCAAGAGGTTATCTATCCAGCAGAAAAGAACTCTGTCATCCTTTCCTTTCTTGCCCCCACCCCCTCCGTGCTTCACCTTTCTCCTCTAGTTTCTCTTCCGGGTTCTGTCTGGACTCCAGCACTCCCCGCATGGCTTAGTCATGGAGTTCCAAAGCTGATTCCTCTTCATCGCAGACTCTCTCTCCCTCTGTGCACACCTTTGAAAATCAGGTTACATAGAATCGTGTGTGCTTGCTTATCACGGTTCCCTGTTTCACACTGTAAACACATTTATCCTGACTGTTCTACAAGTTCATTATTTCCAGTTGAAGACGTGGTGGGGAGAACATTCTGCTTGTGGGCATTTGTATAAAAAGTGAGGTAGGAGTTAATCATGAGTAATCTCTTTAAAAATGCAGTCTCTGCGAGGACAAGCCAGCTTTGGGTTTGTCTCACTTATCCTAGGTCTAACTAAACTTGAGACACCGACTATATGCATGACTGACACTTTTTTTTTTAAACAGGGGAGAGTGCGAACACAGTCCCTCACCACCACAAATTATGCAGTCGAGTCTCCCACATTTGGGAAAATTGCAGAGGTCAGCACATCCTGAGTGCAATGGGTGGGCCTCGCCCTAGGAAAACCACCTTCGTGATCATGGTATCATACCGGCCAGGGAAGTATGATATTACTGACACTTTTTACAGTAAATTACCTCTCATAGACTATTAATGAGGGAGCCCTGGTAGATTAGTGGTTACACGTTGAGCTGCAATCCACAAGGCAAGCAGTTCGAAACCACCAGCCTCTCTAAGGGAGAAACACATTTTTCCACGTCCAGAAACAGTTTCAGAAATTTACAAGGGTGGTTCTACCCTGTCCTACAAGGTCACCATGAGTCAGCATCAACTCGATGGCAGTGAGTGAGTATTTTAATGAAGCATATGTTAAAAGTCCCTTTAAGATGGTTCCCGGCTATACAAATATACAGCGTCTGGGGTCTTAAAGGTTTGAAGATAAGTAAGCGGCCATCTAGCTGAGAAGCAACAAAGCCCACATGGAAGAAGCACAACAGCCTGTGTGATCATAAGGTGTCGAAGGGATCAGTTATCCGGCATCAAAGAACATAAAATCATATCACTGTGAATGAGGGTGAGTGCGGAGTGGAGACCCAAAGCTCATCTGTAGGCAACTGGACATCCCCTTACGGAAGGTTCAAGGGGAGGAGAGGAGCCAGTCAGGGTGCAATGTAGCAACGATGAAACATACAACTTTCCTCTAGTTCCTAAATGCTTCCTCTCCCTCCCCCTTCCCCCCGCCCCCACTATCATGATCCCAATTCCACTTTACAAATCTGGCTATGAACTGGAAACATAGGGAATCCAGGGCGGATGATCCTTTCAGGACCAGTGGTGAGAGTGGCGATACCGGGAGGGTGGAGGGAAGGTGGGGTGGAAAGGGGGAACCGATTACAAGGATCTACATATAACCTCCTCCCTGGGGGATGGACAACAGAAAAGTGGGTGAAGGGAGATGTCGCACAGTGTAAGATATGACAAAATAATAATAATTTATAAATTATCAAGGGTTTGTGAGGGAGGGGGGTGGGGGGTGGAGGGAGGAGGAAAAATGAGAAGCTGATACCAAGGGCTCAAGTAGGAAGAAACTGTTTTGAGAATGATGATGGCAACAAATGTACAAATGTGTTTGACACAATGGATGTATGTATGGATTGTAATAAGAGTCGGACGAACCTCCAATAAAATGATTAAAAAAAGAAAAAATATTTTTTCTTTTTTATTTTTCAGAGAAATAGTCTTTTCGTTCCCTCCTCCCTTTGTTGTTGTTGTTGTTTGTTGTTGTTTTAAAGTATTTGAGAGTAAACCTCAAGCAGAACTGACTATATACTTACATGTTAGAAAAGCAAGTATGGTTTGTACCTGCATGAGTTTTTACGTAAATAGGCTTGACATTCTCAACTGATTTTCAAATGTGTTCATTATTTAAAGAGCAATGTAACTATAAATTGTAATGATCCAAAATAGAAAAGAGGCTTCAGAAACCTTGTAATGGAAGACTACTAATTAGAAATATAGAGAGAGATAGCTTACCTTGTGCTTTTTCATTTATTTTATTTTTAGAATTCAAATGTCTTAAAGTAATTTCTTTTTTATAATATCATCTGATTTCATCCTGTACTTGATGTAAAATTACTATACCAAACGAGCCATTCAAATTAGCAGTGAATTATGGCTCCAATTATTAGAAGTGATTATGCTTGCGACTAACTTGCTATTTTAATAGAATATGGGACATGACAGGGTTAATAGTTGCTAGCATATACTATGACACTTCACATGAAGAGAAACACATAGTGAGACTATCAAATGCATATATGATTTGATACATCAGATTTTACATATCAAATGCATTCTATATAAAACATAAGCTTATCTGGCAATTAAATAAAAAGATATCCTGAAATAATTCTTTCTGCTCAATTTAGTAAAAAGATGCATTTCTAGAAATAGCGAGTAGGCATGCATTGAGGTTTTCTGCTACGGGACAAGAGAAATAATTGTTCCAGGCTTAGATATTGTGAGAATTTTAATTTTTATAAAGCCATAGATTCTTGGGAATTTAGCAAACAGTTCTTACCAAAATAACATACAGTCTCCTGCTCCTTCTTCTCCACATCTATACATGCTACTAGTATTTACATCCCTATTCTACTTTTGTGAAAACATCCTTGGTATCTTTTGAAATAGTTTTACGTTACCAATTAACATTAGACAGTGTTGTTCAGATATAAAATTTACCATCAAGATTTTTAAAATACTCATTCAGGAAACAAATAGCCAACGTTCAAAGTTTATAGCATTCTTTCCCTTCATATACAAGTGTCCCAGGATTAATCAAATCCATTTTGTCTAGTCCTTCCACATTCAGAAACACTACAGATAAAGATAAGCAATTAGTTCGGATTCCACAAATGAGTTAACTGAAGTAACAGCTGTTCATTAGAATAAAATGTAGGAAGCACTGCAAACAATCAGAGGGTGGCCTGGTCCTTCATGACCTCCTTTAAGTACACATTAAAACACTGCTGACGCACTCGTAAAAGCAGATCTCACAACTTTCATGGTTCAAAATTGCATTCCAAAGCCCAAATCAAAAATCATTCTGTTTAAGTAAAATTTCATGGTACTATTGTTGTATTGGTAGTAGAACACCACAAACTACTATTATCAGATTCATAAATACTAAAGAATGTCTAATAATTCACTGAGACTGAGGCCTAGTAGAAACTTTCCCAAAGACTGGAGATTATATTGAAGCATCATGTCTGTCACCGGCCATTTCAGCGGATGAGGGAATGAGCACCACTTGAGAAGTAAGTACCGTTGCTTTTCACATAAAGCAGATTAAACTCCCGTGAAAATCTTAAAGACATATCACTCTAAGAGAAGTCATTCAATCAGTGGGCCCAAATGTTTTGCCACAGAGCAATTTCCTTGATAATTTCTGTGTTTGTTGGATATTTTGAGATTTACAGATGGGGTTTCGGTAAAACTAGAGAATTTAGTTAAGATCATTGATTTCTAACTGTAAAAACCAATAAACAAATAAATAAATAAGTTCCTTTAAAGGTATTTACTTGTTTGCTTCTAAAAATACCTAGACAGTTAGTTTGACTACTTGGAATAAAGCATTCCGTAGAAGAAATTTAAATGAAAGCAAGACAAAGTACACCGGCAAACATTTAAGGGTCTATTCACAGCATTAAACTGTGGCTTGCAGGGAGAAGACAAATTTAATTTTCTGGGAGTTTACAAAGTAGCTGGTGAAAGAAGCCAGATATTATGCTTATTTAACTAACAATACTGTAAAAGATTGATAGGAAATTGTTTCAATTATAGCTTCATATTTATGGGATTCAGAATATGTGATACAAGTAAAATTAGATGTATTTAACAGAGATTTAGCAAGAAGTGTGCACCGTATATGCTCAGATCTACGTGGACTTTTAGTACAGTGTAGTCTATGGAAACAAGGCAAACTTGCATTGTGTGGCCCTGTAGATGGTCAGGGTCACAATCCAGAGGTAGAACACAAAGATGTTGAGGTTGATCGAGTCTCTTAGATTTATGAAATGAAGTGACCTGTGTTAAGGCATGTGATTATAGTTCAAACTCGTTGCCATTGAGAAAATTCTGACTCATGGCAGCTCTATATGCTTCACAATAGAACTGTTTCATAAAGCTCTTTTCTTGCTAAAATCCCAAACAAACAGATTGCCAGATTTTTCTTCTGCTGAACTTCTGGTTGTATTCAAACTCCCAACCTTCTGGTTAGTAACCAAGAGCGAGTCAGTTGCACCACTGAAAGACCTCTGTTGCTTATGATGTTGTGATTGTTGTTAGGTGTCATCAAATTGTTCCCAACTCATAGTGACCCTAGGCACTAAAGAATGAAACAAAACTTGATCTTGCACCAGCCCACACTTAGTGCCCACACTTGCAGTCTGAATATTTACCTATCACCCTGAGTGCTTCCCTTTTACTTTACTAATTATGATGTCCATCTCCAGTGACTAGTTCCTTATGATACTAAGCCCAAAGCATGTGAGACAAAGTCTTGTCATCCTTGTTTCTAAGGAGCATACTGCCTGACCTTCTTCTAAGACAGATTCATTTGTTCTAGAAGTCCTCGGTGTACAAAGGGGCAATGCACCCTAAAAAAGGAAAAAAATCTCCGCTGGCAGGAGTTTTCATAGTATGCATTTTTCCTGCTAAGTGAGCATCTAGCTACTCACTCTGATTTAGTGCACCTGGTGGCGTTGCCTGGGAAGGTTCTCTCTGGTTACAGTGAATGTTTTTGTAAAAGCATTTTCACTTGAACCTCATTTTGTGTGATGGCCGATTTTAAGCGAACAGCACATGGCTGTGAAATTTTGTTTCCTACTCAGGAAAATATGCGATGCAGAAACTATTGTGATGCTGAACGCAGCTTACAGGGACAGCACAATGGAACAAAACTCAAGTGTATGCGTGGTTTTCTCATTTCAAAAAAGGTGGACTGCTGATTGATGACACCCCTCATTCTGCATGTCCATCAATTTTCCAAATGGGCAAAAATGTTGATAAATGATGGGACCACTCCTGCCGGCTGACGTTGAGGACAGAGTCCAGCAACAGATGGCCCGACTTCAAAGAAGTCAGACTGTAGGAATTGGTTGCCGGAATCCGCTCACAAATTGTATTAGGGGATGTTTTGTTGTTGCCGCTATGATATTCTGGAGTATGTTTATGTTTTATCCTAGACCATGTAAAAATGAAACCATTATTGCCACTATGAGCAATAATGAGACCACAATAAATAATTCAGGGGAAATCACAGTACTCATTAAAAAAGGGATGCAAATGATAGAATGACTGAGTTAATTATCAAAACCATACAAGGGAATGAGGATTATGGTATATTTATGGAAAAATGCAAAAGTTAGAATTGGAACAACTCCAACTGACTACAGTAACTCCCGAGAAGTTCCCTATGACTGCCTTTCTGGGAAAGAGTGCCAAAGCTAAGAAACAACCCTTGATTCACTCAGTAAAACCCCTTAATAAATGTGCTTATAGTAAAGGGGACAGTAATGAAAACACCCCTAAGATTACTTTCCCTCC